AGCCAAAACGAATCGAGATAGATATAGACAAATGTATACATAAATGATCAGGATGAAAAAAGAAATCGATTAAGCCATGTCTGTCTGTCCGTCCGTCTGTCCGTCTGTCCGTCCGTCCGTGTACACGATAACTCGAGCAAAAATTGAGATATCTCAACGAAATTTGGTATGTAGGTTTCCCTTAATCCAAGGTAGGTTGGTATTGAAAATGGGCGAAATCGGACTGTAACCACGCCCACTTCCCATATAACGGTAATTTCCAGAAATACGAAAACTGCGATATTTTAGTAACTACTGAAGATAATTCACTCAAAATTGATATTTACAATAACTTTTAGACGAAAAATAAGAATATTATAAATTTTTGGAAAATGGGCGTAGCCACGCCCACTTATGGTTACATGTGTATATCTTGGTAACCGCTGCACCAATTTCTTCCAAACTTGGCACAGTCGTTGGCCTTGATACAGCATACTAAATGGCCGAAAATTTTAAAAATCGGACAATAACCACGCCTACATCCCATATTATGGTAATTTTCGGAAATACGAAAACTGCGATATTTTAGGAACTACTGAAGATTATTCACTCAAAATTAATATTTACAAAAATTTTTAGACGAAAACTAAGAGCGTTATAAATTTTTGAAAAATGGGCGTAGCCACGCCCACTTATGGTTACATGTGTATATCTCGGTAACCGCTGCACTAATTTCTTCCAAACTTGGCACAGTTGTTGGCCTTGGTACAGCATAAAAAATCGCCGAAACTTTTTAAAATCAGACGATAACCACGCCCACATCCCATATAACGGTAATTTAGAGAAATACAAAATCTTCGATAAATCAGTAAATATTGAAGCTAATTTATTCAAAATTGATGCTTGCAACAATTCTTTACAAAGAAATACTTTAATGGTAAAATTTTGGAAAATGGGCGTGGCACCGCCCACTTATGATCACATATATGTACATCGGTAACCGTTCTACCAATTTGTACCAAATTCGGTGTGGTTATTGTGCTTGCCACATATAAGCAAAACGTTGAAAATTATTGAAATCGGACTAAAATTACGGCCGCTTTTCATATAACGGTAAATTTCAGAAATGCTTGAAACTTCAATATTTTGAAATTTAAGGACGCTAATTTACTCAAAATTGATATACCCCGGCTTACCATCTAGCGGTAGGCTTCGGAAAGGTGAAAAAACATATATTTAATACTTGCGCCGGGTATTTAATGTTCGGCTCCGCCCGAGCTTAGACTTTTTTACTTGTTTTATATAGTTTCCTGCGTTGTTAGCAATCTCAGCAGCTTTCCCTATAGCGAAGACTTCCGCCTGGAAGATACTGCAGTACTCTGGAAGCTGGAGGGGTTGCCTGAGGTCTAGCTCAGCGCAGTAGACTCCGGCGCGCACTCCATCAGCCATTTTTGATCCATCCGTATAGATGTTATACGTTCCGATGGCGGGTCGCCTGATCATGCGCCATCCGCCCTTCTTACACGTAGCTTTAAACCTTCTTTCCCAGATGAAACGTGGGGGTATGTGGTCAGTTTTGCCCTCCATACCCCTGCATATCGAGCTGTGCCCGAAGGTTCTAGCGGAGAATTCACCTAAGGCCATCAATCTCATGGCGGATTTCGCTGCAGTGCTCTCCACTGCGATGTCGATTGGCGGTAGGTCAAGTAGCGCTCCTGTTATGCACAGTGCAGCGAGCCGCTGTACTCGCTCCAATGGTTTCCTATACGAGATTTTGTTGGCAGCGGTCCACCATACCAGAGCGCCGTAGAGCAATATCGGTCTTACTACCGCTGTGTAACACCAATGCATGAGGCCAGGGGATAGGCCCCATGTAATACCCAGCATCTTTTTACATGCGTAAAGGGCACCACTGGCCTTTTTCACCCTTTCCTCTACATTAAGCTTCCACATAAGTTCTATATTCGCAAATAAGTTTGATTTATTTTATAACTGACAACTAACGTACGATTTTTGTTCTTTTCCAGACTCCATTTTGGTTTTGACTCATTATTACCGCCAACAGCTTTAAGTGTATACATATTTACAAGCTGTCAAAAAATTTGGGTGGTTCCACGAGCTAGGTAAAAATTATGGCGTTCGTATTCATAACGAGAAATCTCAAAACTTTTGTTTGATCTTTGCAAATTTCTCTTTTGTATCAGTTGGCAAAGGCCCTCAGTGGCGGCACTCCGAGCGTTGAGATACCAATTTCATGTCAATTAGTAGAAAAGTTCCATGGTGTAATTCTTGCTGTAAAACTTTTCACCAGCGGGTTTTCATTTACCTCATAGTTGTCAAAAATTTGCAATCCGGAGTACTTTTCTATCAATTGGCACAGGCGTTTTGCGCAAATAAGGTTGTGAAATGCGTTTTATTTAAATCGTTTAAAAAATGAGTCATTTATGTATACCATTTTATGTGGAATTATGCAATAAATTTCGTTTTACATTACACTGGAGTTAATTATTTTTTTGTTTCTCAAAAGCAACCCTGCGTGCTTAGAAAGTGTAGAGAGAGAATAAAGAACACGACGGTTTGAGGTTTATGAGTGGACTGACTGTTTAATGTATCAAGAATATGCTTATAAGTATTACAATTATGCGAAGCTGGTAAATAAAGTATAATAAGCTTATGAGTGCATTTTATATGCACA